GGCTTAAAAAACGTGTCTATACATGTACACGTATAAAATTGCAACAATAAAAGCAACAGCAACAACAACAAAAGCAATGTAGAGAAAAACCTAACCTACTGCTGTTGTTTACGAAGGTGTATCATTAAATATGGCGGCTTTCGTTCGTTGGCTGCTGATGCCATATCTTGGTTTAGTTGGGGTTTCCATGAAATCCATACATTTGGTTACTTTGTATTAATTTTTTTTTTTTATTTTTTACTTTTTTTAGCCTTGGTGTTCATTTTGATTGGAACATGCACACTCCACTCTACTCTGTACAGTGTATATAGTTGCTAACATTTTTTTTTTTTTTTGTTTTTCAAAATAAAACAAATAGTTGCAAAGCTTGTTTTTGTTTAAAAAACAAAAAATAAAAAAAAGAAAGCTTTACAACTCTATATTTTATTAGAATATCTACATATATGTATATATATATATATATTTTATATTTTGAAAAAAAAAAAAAAAAAAATTAAATTGATCTTCTCTTCAGAAGCAGTGATCAAGCAAAAGTTTTTCAAATGTTATTAGCAAATAAAGCTACACTTCCTCTGGATGGGCAGAAGAAAGGCTTGCGCATAGAAAAAGATGTATGTGTGTTCTATTCTTGACATTGTGTTAAATTAAACTCGTCACTATGAAAAACGTATAAATAGGTTACCACTTCCTTCGGAAGCCAAAGTCCTCGCTTTAAAGTGATTGTAAAACCTGCCCTAAATGGGTTCAATGCAATGACAGTGATAGTTGGTGATGAGGTAATGAATATTCCAAACGAATAATTCCTATAGCATTCTCTTAGCATTGGAAGTAGGAATGATTTTTTCAGCTGCTATATCAATTCAAGCTAAATCAATCCTCTTTATTAATGTGGTCAGATGCGTGTCTGCTTATGGTACGAGGAGAGTCTAAAAAGGATATTTTGCAAGGTTCGTACTAATGAGTACCTTTTGCAAATGGCACACTCCAATGGTGCCATCTCTTTATGAATTGCCGACTGTGAAAATATTATGGATCAACGATGCGCTATCATGCATGCGAGCTAGATCGGGTGAGCGGAGGACGCCTTGAAAAAGACTTGGCTAGTTTAGAACGCACTTTGCGGTTCATTCTGTGTAGAAGCTTTGGATCTGAATCCAACTGAAGATTGTCTTTGTGACTGGCAAAAAGAGATGTGTAAAGAACGAATGTCTTGGACATTCTTAACCTACAGCTGTTGCTATCAATCTTTGCGTGTGTAGCGTGAACTTTAATTTTTAATTCATGAAATTTCTAAGGCAATACATGCTTTCATTAACCCACAAAAATAAAAATGATTAACAAATGTCAGTATAATCAGTGTACATAGTTACCGGAATTTGTAGCTTGAGTGTAATAAGTAGAAATAACTTCAAAGTGCTACTACGTCACTCAGTAACCGTATTGAATTATATCTGAGCGATATGTCGAGCTGCTAACCTGGTTAACATGTGTTCTAGATAGGGTTTATCTAAAAAAGTAAGCTTCCTTTCGACAATGAAATATAGTTTTGGTAGATAAAAATCCGCATCAGACGAAGTTATGTAGGGTATCTAAGAGACGGCGTTGCATAATTATAACATTTTGGCAATTTTTTTCTTTGGACTTTTGATGACCAAAGGACTCGTCATATGCGTGTGTAAAAACGGTGAGGAAGGAGTGGGAGCAAAGGTTGCAGCTACAGCCTAAGCTATACGGCAGCCCACTTTTATGAGAGTTATAGTCCTTTGGCCGTAAATCATCAATAAACTTAATCTTAATTAACAAACTCTTAGATGTCTTTGTTTATCTTTATTCAACCTTAGTCGCTTGCAACAAGCATCCCTAGCAAGCATTCATAGCCAGTAATGTTTCCAAAATATATTTTATTAAAATTTCCATTACTTCCCTTGCGACTGAACAAAAGCAAATAAACGATAAGCAATTGTCATAATCTGCATAGAAAGAGGAAGAAAAAAATTTTGCTTTAATCTCTAAGATGAAAGCATTTATTCTATACATCTTACCGACTGAAAGTGTAACATGTCCAAGTCGAAAAGTTTGAAGCCGTTTAAAGTGAAGGGCTTATGAGCGTACTGCAAGAGACTTAACATTAAACGTCGATATGTGGGAGAGGCATCATACCATTTTTGAGTGTAAAGAATAGTTTGAAGACGTGCTGACTAAAATTTAAGGAAATAAGAAATAATGGCTTAAAGTTCAGTTGCACATTCGGACTTACCGCCTCGGCTAAACGTGATCCTTGATGACAGTAATCAAATGTGAAAGCGATTAATATAAAGCAAGGAAAGAAGAAAGTAACGATTGTCAGTATGCTGTCACTGTTAGCAATGAGATAAAGATGAAAACAAATGGAGCCAGCACAACCGATATCGGTTAAGAATATCGTTAAGTTAAAGGTTTCATTCAATTTCTTAGCCAAACGATAAACATGCTGATGATAAACAATTATTTCCTTGAAACGACGCCAAAACAATTTCGATTTCATGCGTCCGGTCGTGTCTCTGACATTTAACGATTCGAGTTCCGTGTTCACGAATTCGAAGTGCATTGTGAGTTGCGAAACGGTTACCGTGAATATATGATCCCAGGTTAAGATACAAGTGAAGCCAAGAATTGTGACAAATGTTTCGTAAACATACACATACGGATAAGCGCGATTATTTTGCTTTAGTTCAAATGGAGCCCACGAAGCATGCTGATGATATTCGTCGAGAAGGGGGCCACCATTTTCGCGATCATAAAATAAGAAATATCTGATTAAAGGAATGCTAGCAAACGAGGGTAAGCCGACGTACACGTAAATACGCAGCACACGAAAGCGGACTTTAAAAAAAGCGGCCAATTTCTGCACTCGCATACGTTGCTGCAGGTAAACAGTGTTGGGAAATATTTTATCCAAGTCATTGCATATCGCTAACATGCGATTACGATCGGTGTATAACGAAATGCCGCGAATCATGCACAAAAGTGCAATACTTGTAACGGCAGCGATTTGTTTCGCTTCGCTTAAACGATCCGCACGTATTTCGAGTATGAATTTTATCAAATTGCAAATCAATTCGAATAAAACGAACGTTAAACTGATTTTTAATTTTGTCATATTTTCAAATTCGAACGGTATAGTCGAATCGCGACGTCTAAAATCAAAATATATCCAACGCGTATACTTTTGCAACGGATGCAAAATCAGAAAAAATTGATCGATAGTGTAAAAATGCATTTTGTCTTTTGTCCTTCGTGTCCCATTCACGTAAGTTAGGAGACGGCTTTTATATGATTTTAAGGTTGAAATTCCTTTTGATTGTTTTATGTATTATTAAAAAGAAAATCAAAGGAATTTTTAATGCAAGAAAAAAATAAATTAGATAATAATTTTATTATTAACGTAAGAGTTAGTGAAATTTTTTTTTTTTCATTTTTCTGCTTTTACCGGAAGGCGAATAAAGCATTTGAGTACATGGGTTAATAGCACTTCAGTGTAGTTCGTGTTATATTCGCATCGGCAGATAATGCGGATGTTAACAAGTGAATTATTCTATTACCGAGTATCTCGAAGCAAGTTGAAAACATAATTTTTTTTCTATTCGTAGATTCTTGGTTGACGGTTGACTGGAAGTCAAGTCTGAGAAAGTCTTACATTTGAGATTGATTTCTGTAAAGTGTGCTTCTATTCGCAACGGATGTAAACACCGGTGAGGATTCTATAATTTGGTCGTAAAATTTTTTAAAAACCAAGGCTTTATGTATCTGCCAAGAAATAAGAAGAAGAATGAAGGAGAAAGGTGAGTTTCTACCTTTAAGAAATTAAGCCCTCCTTGTCTTTGGGTAATCGTTTCCGTAAAAACTCTGCCTCTGCGTATGCCGCTTCACTGTAACTTAACTTTTGTCACAAGAGAGCTTACTGAGGAGCAATCGTAAAAATGTCCTGGTCTAACCAATTTTCATAATGATTCGTTTTGGAGTCAAACAATGACAATGTTCCATGGATCTTAAAAGTATGTCGAATCTTAATACCTCATAAAATATGGTTCAGAAAATTTAATTTAAAATGTCAGTTCAATTTCAATGCAGTTTAGTTGCAAAAAGTTTCCCATACAAAGTTCCCGTTTCTCTGCAAGCAGCCTCGTTAAGGCGGACTTTTTTCGTCACCGTTTTCTTTTTATATTGAAATTCTAGACACATCGCTTCATCATTTGCAAAGAAGACGTTGGAGGTGCAATATTTTGCAAATAAAGTTAAATTTAATTATTCCATGAGAGACAAAAGTAATTCTATTTTGTTCGCAGTTGTACTATATTGAAGATGAGGTACAGATACGACGAATTAACTTTAAAAACGGGTAAGGCAGCCAGTCAGTTCCAGCGGCAGGAAGCTTCGAAAACCCCCCAAACTATATATATATATATACTCTTCCTCAGCATCAAATTCTGGATTGGCTTAAACATTTCCGTCTGTCCGTGTTGTAAACATCGTTCTGTTCCCAAAAATGAAGATATCGATTTCAAATTTTGTAGAAACATTGGAAGTCCTTCAATGCACGTTCGTATTGAAAATGGACCAAATTCGTTAAATGACATGCCAATAGCGCAACGTGAAGTGAGTGCAGCTCATTTTTCAAAAGTGAAAATAGTTGGGTTTGCCGCCCATTACCATGGTATAAACCACAATGGGTACAACGATAAAAATTTACACCTATATTGTATATTGTGATCTTCGAGCAACAAGACAACAATGGAAAATTCAATCATCCACTACGAAAAATTGCGCAGTGTTGAAATCATATTTTTAATATGTTTTCTGGTTTTCGAAAATTGATAATAAATCAATTTTGGGATTTGCAAAAGGGCTTGTCTTTGCAAATCCACAGCATAAACATGTCACTGATGACAACCATGTCTAAATTGAAGTAAGAATTGAACCAACGTTCACAGGATTCGCCTTATCTTTCGTTTGCTGTTTTTCTTATTTGGTTCTGACAGCTATCGACCCATGTATTAATTACTCCTATTAAGCATATCTCTGATTTCCCTTATCATTATTGCAGACTATATATATGTTCAATATCTGTTGGCAAGCAGGACCACGTCCATCCATAATCCATAAGTTATTAGAAAATATGCGGAAAACCGCCGAGTCACAAGAATAAGATATAAATCTGATATCTCTCGCACATGATTTCCGATTATTTTTACAAATTAGTTCTGAAAATGGAATAATTTCGCCCAAGTGAGCTGAACTTTAAGCTCTTGCCATGATTTGAAACTGGATTTCGACTATATAAAAAGTTGGTCCGAAAATATATTTATAACCATGAATAGAAGAACTAAATGAGCTTCTTATCCTGGACAAGACAGAAGGAGTACCTCTTATTCGTCTTAACCGGTAGATGTATTACTTATTTGTTATTATGAATCCTTCGCCTTTTAAAGTCGCTATTAACGTCACCTTGAACTTTCAATTAAGTTTTCATCTTCGCATACAATATTTTATATTTTCTTTGCTAAAACGTCTATCCTTAAACAGAATTTGTGTCCGGATGCTTAATAAATAACTAACTACAAGTGAATTTTTTTTTTCTCAAGGTCACCCACCCAGACAGTCGGACGGACAGACAGACAGACATCAACATTTTCATCACATTAACGTATAATTTATTTCAAATTATGAAATTTTGTTTTGAACAATTTTGATTTTCGTGGTTATAACATGATATGTGCTTGTGTTAGGCAGAGGGAGTGAGAGAGTTATATAGAATAAAAAAACAACTTTCAACAGCAGAAACAATAACAAAATTATATACTTGTTGGACGATCATAATTTTATATAATTTGCAATTACGTGATTTTTCAATACCGTTTTTTCCTCTCTCTGTTTAGTTTTTTATGCGGATGCTTCGAAGATATTTTATTTAATTTTTTTTTTTTTTTTTGCTGTTTCTATGCATAGAGTATGAATAACAAAAAAAAAAAAAAAATATACTGAAAAAATAAAAATGTAAAAATAAATAAAACAAAGATCAAAATGCTTGCCTTTATTATGGATTTTCTTGCTATATCTTCGTATGGAGGCAAATATATGTTAGTTGGTCTCGAGCGTTTATTCACTTAAATAAGAGAAAAAAAGGGAATATTTATGATATTTAGGATTACGCAGATTGTTCGAGCATTATTATTTTCTTTAGTCGCCATTTTAATGCACATACATTATATATATTAGTTCATACTTGACTGTCAAGACGTATAGACGTAAAAAATTTTAAAGAAAAATTCATTTTGCAATTGTGTTTTCTTAATCTTTCAAGTTTATAAAATACACCTGGATGGCCGTCGGATTATGATTTGCGGGACAACAGAGGCTATGGACATGTCCAAAGAAAGTGTTTATATATATATATATTGGATCAAAAGCGTTTGCTCATACGTTGTAGGCCGCAAACAGATGTCTACAAAACAAAATTGTTGACCATTCGGCCGTATTCTCCACAGCTAATCTATAGCGACTATGACCTGCCGACATATCTCGAAAGAGTCTTCCAAGGGATATATTGACAGTCATTGTGGAAAATGAAGCGCATTTTAAGGATACTACGAAGTCATTCAGAGGGAGGTACCAAAAATGCATTTGAAAAAGAACTGCTGCACTGATTGCTTCAGAAAGAGAGAGAGAGAGAGAGAGAGAGAGAGAAGGGATTGCATTGAAAGAGACTACGTTGATCAATTAAATCAAATTTTGCAAAAAAATGTTTTTTCTCCCTTAGGTTGGAAACTCTGCCGAATTTGAATTTAGGGCTTCTTTCACAAAGCCATTTACAAAGTCGCACACATAAGAATAAACTGCTTGGTTTGATTCGTTAAAGATACTGACCATTTTCGGCGAATAAATCTTGTGTACTTTTATGATGAAAACAAAAATTTCGCGAGACATGCATATAAAAGTCGTGGGCCTTCAAATATTGCGCTCTTGATTGTCATAGATCTGTATCGAATACATCCATCAATTAAAGTGTACAGCATTTCTGTAGTCATTACTAGATCACAAAATAGATCAAAGGCAGAATTCATGGAGATATTTCAACAAAATTTAAATACATTTTCTTATATATTGCAAAGAAATTTATTAAACTAAATATATGACATGTGGATCTGTAAACTTGTGTCATTTTTCTTGGGAAACCCTTATGCCTTCGTGGTTGAACTTTTGGGATAGCTGAGCGAAAAATTGGGCCAAGTGGATTATGCAGACCTCTCTTAAAGTCGGCTTAAGACCGATAAGAGTAATTGTATCAGAAGTGGTGTAGGATCTAATGCAATATAATAACTGCCGAGTTCCGTCGCAGAGACAACACAAATCGAAAGGCATTTTATTTCTAATACCGGAACGTTTTCTTGTGGCTATTGCTTCGCAACACCAAAACTGATCAAAAATCAGAAGAACCGTAAGAAGAATACAAATTGCTTTCTTTTACGACTGACTGGTGAACAATTGCAGCGCCCTACTAAATCATACTGAGCTTCGATATTCTACATACTTCGAAAGAGTTATCGAAATTATCAATGCAATATTTAAGGACACGACATCTAGAAAATCTGAGCAATTCAACTGTTGGAATTTTGTTAAGGAAAGTTATGAATAACGCAGCGGCTGTTGTTTTGAATCACTTCAATGTATTTATTGTGGGTTTTTTTCCTATAAGACCACCAAGTCGGGTCTTATACACTTTTGATATAAAAGAAGTTTTTTTTTTATACCTAAGTTAGGTTTACGATTTGGAATTGCAAAAAGGAGTTGGCTACTCCCAATTGCTTTGCAATATGCCTTTTCTATACGTTGTTCAGGTATAAGTTTATACTATCAAGAATGATTCAAAAACAGTTTACAGATTTAGAAAAAAGTACTGAGTGAATTTATATTAATGCAGATAGTGCGGACCTTCTCTTGCAATATGTATTGAATGGAAATAATATAACTTCAGATAGACTTTCGTTTATTGTACTTTTCCGTTTCAAGATGTAAGCGGAAAGGGAGGAAAGTGCTTTAGTGAATCTTTTTAGCAATAGCTTTTGATGGTTTACCATCTAAGTATAATTCAAGCTTTGTCATCAGCATGATAAGCAGTCACCATCATAATAAGAAGTTTCTTGAAAGCCGAGATCTACAAAAAGCAAAGTAATGCAGATATCAAAGAACCTGCTGAAAAATCGATGCTATTGCTCTCACAGA